TGACAGAATGGATAATGAGACCCTTCAAAACTAGGGATGCCAAGCCCATGATGACACTCTTCAGGTCGCTTGTTCTATCTTGGCTGGAATATTACTATACACTAACAGCATCTTTCAAGACAGGTGAAATTGCTGACCTAGAAAATGTACAGAGAACCTTCACGGCACACATAACGGAGATAAAACACCTTAATTACTGGGATCGCTTGAAGTTCTTGAACCTGTACTCCCTGGAATGCAGGCGAGAGAGATACATGATTATATACACCTGGAAAATCCTAGAGGGACTCGTACCGAACTTGCACACGAAAATCACTCACTACGAAAGCAAAAGACTCGGCAGACGATGCAACATCCCCCCAATGAAAAGCAGGGGTGTCACTAGCATGTTAAGAGACAACACAATAAGTGTCAGGGGCCCAAGACTGTTCAACTGCCTCCCAGTATACATCAGGGGGATTACTAATAGACCCCAAGCTGTCTTCAAGCAGGCTCTGGACAAGCACCTAAAGTCGGTACCTGACCAGCCGGGTTGTGGCTCGTACGTTGGATTGTGTGCAGCCAGCACTAACAGCCTGGTTGATCAGGCTCTGATCCACCATGAGGCCTGGTCACAGACTGGGCCGCGGGGGCATTGAACCCCGGAACTCTCTCCAGGTAAACTCCAAGAATGCATCTGGAGAACGATTGCAACCTCTTGATGTTATTTCACTTCTTCTGATGTGTCTTCTCAGGCAGCCAGAGCTAAACTGAATGCTGGTTTGTTAGCCCCTGTTTTTATATGTGCCAAGCAAAACCATAGAACATAATAGTTTTACATTAGTCTTTCTTGAAAGTGTTCCAGAAGTGTCCTGATCATAGAAACAAAGTTCTGGGATCAAAATGGCTTTTTTAAATTCTGTTTACTCATAAAGAATTGGGAAATGGTACTTATTTCCCAGGAACACGACAAAAGTGAAATTTTGTTACATAGTGTTATCATTAATACAAAAAAGCTATTGATAATGTGAGAAGTCACGAATGCACTTGGAATTTCGCTATTTTTTTTTTTCACAGTGGTTGTTCTGCATATTGTGATATCACCTGTTCACTGTGATCTTATTGCAGCAAAAGCTGTTGTGTAAATACTGTAAAATGAACATGGTAAAATTACACAATGTTAGGCTACCAACCTGGTCTTGCACATACTGCAAGTTTTTTTTTTTTTATCTTTAAAGGCAAGATTCATGATTCATCAGCAGATATGTACCATTATTATTAAAATCCTAAGCGCTAAACCCACAATGGTCACAGAGTGCTGCATTGTAGGGCATGCTAAAGGTTTGAAAAGGTTGATCAGAGACTAGCGAGGGTGGAGAGTACAACAGAGGTACAGTTAGTAAGGACGATGAGAAGTGCTAAAGGAGGTACAATAAATGTCTGTGTAATAATACGTAGCTGTCAAAAAGTCAAAGAGGGAGTCTGTGTCACAGGTGGGGCCGTCAGCAAGGAGGGAAGATAAAGTGTCAGATTTGTACCAATCGTAGTGTGTGTTTACATTTTACAGTATAATTTACCATTTCAGGAGGGGGATCCTTGATGATGCAAGGAACTAGACCTACCCTTTCTTTCCTCGGATCAAACTTGATTTACTTAAGTTCCTCAAGTGCTGTAGGACCCGTGCAGGTTTAGCATGAATATAAAAATAAGTTAGTTTAACATGTTTATTATGCACCCCATACCCATCCTGTGGGCAGCAGTCAAAAGATTACAGACGTACATAATGGGTCCAAGGACTGGGCCCCCAAAGTTTTGATAGCTGAACTAGGTACAAAGGTAATGAACTCACAAGTTATAATGGTAAAGAATCCTGTAAGTAAATTTACTTACTTACGTTTATACATGGTTACAATCATGAACAAATTATAGAGTAATGAGCAATTCACACTTCCACACCCGGTCAAAACTGTAATGAGTTATTGGTGCAAATATTGTTTGTTGAATCACACACACCACACACACACACACACACACACACACACACACACACACAAATGCACACACACAATGTGGTAATGCTTTATTTACATGGATCATAGTCAGGGTATTTTTCCAGAATGGTCTGTAATATACCACTGTGGATAAAATACTTTGCCATTTCTTGAACATTTCTGAGTGCGTTGTTTCTAAATTCATTAATTTTATCACACACCAGTACATAATGACGCAAGGTGTGACAATAGTCCATCTGGCAAAGTTTACATTTCGTTTGGTCTACATCTGGTGGTGGTGATTTAACCTGCCAAAGATACTTGTAACCCAGCCGGAGCCGGGCGGTAGTGACATCGAAGAGTTGGCTTAATACAGCATAATTGCCACATTTCATGGGTACTTTCTAAATACAAAGACATAGTACAGTTTTTTATATATTAATGTATACAGGGGTTGGCATAAACAGTCAATAGTTCCGTGTAATTTAATATAAAATAACAAACAATATCAGCTAAGTGGAACTAATACTTCATTATTGTTCAGGGTCACAATAAAACAAAGTGCTTGAAGTCCCCTGGGTTTACCTGGAGAAGTTTCGGGGGTCAACCCCCCCGGGGCCCGGGTTTGTGCCAGGCCTCCTGGTGGTCGCGCCTGATAAACCAGGCTGTTTGCGGGCTACGCAAACCAAGTCGAGCCACACCCCGGTGATCAGGAAGTCTTTAGGGGCTTGCCAGTGCCGCTTAAAGACTCCCCGGGGTCTGTTGTAATCCCCCTATGTGTGTGGGGGCAGTTGAACATTGGGCCCCCGACATTTTTGTATGGTCTCTTAACGTGCTATGACACCCTGCTTTCATTGGGGGGTGGTGCATCGTCTGCAAGTTTTTGCTTCGTAGTGAGTGATTTTCGTGTGCAAGTTTGGTATGTCCCTCTAGGATTTCCGGGTGTTTATAATCATGTATCTCTCCTCCGCGTCCGGGAATAAGGTTTAGAAACTCAAGCGCTCCCAGTTTTGGGGGGTGTTTTATCTCCGTTATGCGGCCGTGAAAGTTCTTGTACATTTTCTGGTCGGCAATTTCCCCCTGCCTTAAAAAGGTGCTGTTAGATTTGCAGCAATTTTCCACCCTGATGAAAAAGTGACCTAAAGGTGTAATGGGTTTTTGGCCCCCCTGTTTTGAAGGTTCTATTTCCCTTTTGTCTTTTTCGCAAAAAGCGATTGATACAATGTTATGGTCCTTAAAGGGAGATCCCCCGACATAATCATCCTAGGTTTTGCTTTGGTGTTCCCCTTATTTTGGGGCCCAAAATTGTTTTGTACTCTGAAAAGTTTTTAATTTCCTCATTTACCATATCTGAGAAATTAAAATTTTTCCATCGTTAAAACTTATATTGTTTTCTGCGCCCACTGAAATTTTTGGTTGATGCCCGCCTGGAGCCTTGCAGTGTTGCAATGGAAGACATGTCATGCAAATTGGGTTCATCTGCAAAGGGCCGGTGCTGTGGGTGACACCCTTTTCTATGTCGGATATGAGGATGAGGAACAAGATGGGACTAGTACTGTGCCTTGTGGGACAGAGCTTGTCACCGTACTGCCTCGGACTTTACTCTGTTGACGACTACTCTCTGTTTCTGTTAGTGAGGAAATTATAGATCCATCGACCGACTTTTTCCCGTTATTCCTTTAGCGCGCATTTTTGTGCGCTATTACGCCATGGTCACACTTGTCGAAGGCTTTTGCAAAGTCCTGTATATATTACATCTGCATTCTTTTGTCTTCTAGTGCATTTAGGACCTTGTCGTAGTGATCCAGTAGTTGAGACAGACAGGAGCGACCTGTTCTAAACCCATGTTGCCCTGGGTTGTGTAACTGATGGGTTCTAGATGGGTGTGATCTTGCTTCTTTGGACCCTTTCAAAGATTTTTATGATATGGGATGTTAGTGCTATTGGTCTGTAGTTGTCTTTGCTGTTGCTTTACTGCCCCCTTTGTTGGAGTGGGGCTATGTCTGTTGTTTTTAGTAACTGAGGGACGACCCCCGTTGTCCATGCTCCCTCTCCATAGGATGGAAAAGGCTCGTGATAGGGGCTTCTTGCAGGTTCTTGATGAACACAGAGTTCCCGAGTCTTTGGGCCCTGGGGCAGAGTGCATGGGCATGTCATTATCGGCCTGTTTTGAAGTCATTTGGCGTCAGGATAACATCGATAGGCTTGTGTTAGTCAAATTTTGTGCTCTCTCATAAAAAATTCATTTTGGGCTTCGACTCTCAGTCTGGTTAGGCGGCTTGCTAAAAACTGAGTCATATTGGGGGCTTGAGTAGCTCACTCATTTCCTTGCTGTCATCTGTGTAGGACCCATCTTGTTTAAGTAGGGGCCCAATACTGGACGTTGTTCTCGATTTTGTTTGGCATAGGAGAAGAAATACTTTGGGGTTTTTTTCGATTTCATTTATGGCTTTTAGTTCTTCCCGCGATTCCTGACTCCTAAAGGATTCTTTTTAGCTTAAGTTCGATGCTTGCTATTTCTCTGACCCGTGTCTCCCTGCGCATTTCAGATATTTGACCTCTTTTAGCCGCTCTGTTATTCTTTTCCGTCGCCTGTAAAGGGAGCGCCTGTCTCTTTTCTATTTTACATCTACTCCTCCTTTTTCTTAGAGGAATAAGCCTTTGTGCATACACGAGTTTCCACCGAGTTAATCTGTTTTAGGCATAAGTTTGGGTCTGTGTTGCTTAGTATATCTCCCAGCTTTTATCGGGTTTGGACTTGGTTTACTTGGTCCCACTTTATGTTTTTGTTATTGAAGTTGAATTTGGTGAATGCTCCCTCATGACTAGTCTCATTTTGTCGGTCTGGGGCTCCATGCATACATGTCTGAACCTCAATTAGTTGTGATCTGAGTATATTGTTTTTGATATGGTACATTTCTTATCAGATCATCATTGTTAGTGAAGATGAGGTCTAGTGTATTCTCCAGTCTTGTAGGGTCTATTATTTGCTGGTTTAAATTGAATTTTGTGCAGAGATTTAAAAGCTCGTGTGAGTGTGAGTTTTCATCAGAGCTGCCTCCTGGTGTTATTTCTGCAACAATATTATTTGCTATATTCCTCCATTTTAGGTGCCTTAAGTTGAAATCCCCCAGGAGCAAGATGTTGGGTGCAGGAGCTGGAAGATTTTCCAGACAGTGGTCAATTTTTAACAGCTGTTCCTGGAATTGCTGGGATGTTGCATCCGGAGGCTTGTAGACTACCACAATGACTAAGGTTAACATTATTAAAGTACAATGATCTGTTACATGTACAGTGTAGTTACTATAGTGGACCTGTATAGTTACTATACTGGACCTGTATAGTTACTATACTGGACCTGTATAAGTATATAGACGACCTGTATATTTACTATACTGGACCTGTATAGGTATATAGAGGACCTGTATAGTTACTATAGAGGACCTGTGTGTAGCAGGAGAGACTAGTTATATCACACTAGTCATTCATATCTTGGCAGGTGGGGTGACTTCGTTTTTGGCTTGGTTATTGTGATGACACTCAGTGTAGCCCACTGGTAGCCATATATCTGATGAGCAGTCACCACCTGGGTACCTGCGTACGAGTTTTAATACCAATGAACAAACATTCTCTAGTTAACCGTTAATAAATTAAATTGCAGAAAATATATGTTTGCTAACACTTTTCATTGATATACATTCCAGTATTAAAGTTATTGCTATTTTTGTAACTGTAATGAACACTGATGAAATTTTGCAGGTTATAAGTTCATAAATATTTTAGGAAGCACAGCATTTTAAATATTAATATAGCTACATAGTTGAAAATGACAAAAAAAAAAAAAAAAAAAAAAAGTGATGGCAGGCAAAATATTTGGGGTAAGAGCCAGCAAGTAGTCAGTGTTTCCGAAATCGCAAATAAAACTTCTAAGGAAATCTAAAAAACTGTTTTATGCCTATAGGTTTAATGTTACACAAGGTTTAATGTATTTTGGTCACTCTGGAACCAGTGAAAGGTATCCCTGTATTCCATAAGCCCAGCCTCCTCTACTTCATTACTGTTAAATTAGACATGTGCAACTCTTGGGTATCTTTATTGAGGAAACATTTCGCCACACAGTGGCTTCATCAGTCCATACAAAGGAGAAAATTGAAGAACAGGAGGAGAATGAGGTAATCAGTCCCTCAACCTTGAGTCGATGTGTTCAGTCCATCAATCTTGAATAGAATACGGCATATGAGCGGAGAAGCAGCTTATAAACCGTAGGCAGGAGAGGTGCAGCAGTCGTAGGTGGTGTCACATTTGTCCAATGTGGAAGTAGGTCGTGCCCAAGGGTTAGGCAAGCGAAGAATTCCCAAGTATTAAAAACCGTAGGCACCTCTCCTGCCTACGGTTTATAAGCTGCTTCTCCGCTCATATGCCGTATTCTATTCAAGATTGATGGACTGACCACATCGACTCAAGGTTGAGGGACTGATTACCTCATTCTCTTCCTGTTCTTCAAGTTTCTCCTTTGTATGGACTGATGAAGCCACTGTGTGGCGAAACGTTTCCTCAATAAAGATACCCAAGAGTTGCATATGTGTCTAATTTATCAACGTGTCGGTTCTCTGAACCATTCATCTATACTTCATTACTGTAGACAGTATGCCTACCCCATACCTGTTCTCATAATTACCACTAGGGAAGATGTCTCCATAGGCCAGTACTGCCATCTGGTGGTCACAGGCCTACCTTCAGTCCACTGCGTGACATGCTGCATTCCCCTCACTCACCCTGCAGTCAGCCTACAGACAAGAAGTCCCTCCTCTCTTTCTCTCTCCCACCAGGCTGGTGCCTGGTACGGCACCTAGAACACGCTGTTTGTACCAGAGCCCCCTCTCCCCAAAAAAACTTCAGGACACCTCCGAAGAACATTATTCACCGACACCAAAATAACCTTCGATATATCTGGTGCCAGTGGTGTTTGCAGCAGTTGTGTTTTGCCCAGAGGAAAGAAAGAAGACGAAGCTGATGTCACTGCCTACTACATCACCCCCTGAGGAGCAGCATCTGTCTACCAACAAATTATCCTGATGTGGTCTGCAATCCTTATGATCCAGACACAGGTACAGCCAAGATTCAAACCCAAATATGCTTAATTTCTTCGGGAAATCTTAGCGGCATCAGCTGGATCCCACAGCATCCCATGGATGGTTTCCAAGTCATGTATTCAGCATCACTTGTATGTCACTGCTCGCTGTTTCAGCTCAGCACGGCTATTTCAGCATGAAAGAGGTGAGTTTTGTGGTGCTTTTGCGTCCATAGCACCAAAGCCCCCCTGCATTCCATCAATACGACTACACTTTGCAAATATACAGGGTCTAAAGCCATCAACAAACAACGAAATACCCCCATACATACCATCAATACGACAACAATAATCTTTGCAAACATACAGAGTCTAAAGCAATTAACAAATAACAAAGTACTTTTCATCAGTGGACTGTTCACAAAGTCAAATGCAATGTTAGTGGCTTTCACAGAGACCCTCGTAAAGGATCACTTTGACAACGAAATATGGATCCCAGGTTATACATGCGATAGAATAAACAGGCAACAAGGGGAGGGGGGTTGGCCTCTATGTCACAGAGTCGCTTATTTCCTCAGAATGACTGAACACGTCAAATGATGTAATTGAAGTTATAGCAGTAAAGACTGAAAACCAAAACCTTGCCATTGTGGTTGAATACAAGCCTCCTTATGCAACTTCCCAGCAATTCCAGGAACAGCTTTTGAAAACTGACCACTGTCTGAAAAATCTCCCAACTCCTGCTCCAAACATCTTGCTGCTGGGTGATTTCAACTTAAGACACCCATAATGGAGAAATGTAGCAAATATTGTTCTAGCAGAGATAACCCCAGAAAGCAGCTCAGATGAAAATTCACACACATATGAGGTATTAAATCTCTGCAACAAATTCACCTTAAAGCCAGCAAATAGTGGAGCCAACCAGGCTGGAAAATACATTTAACCTCATCTTTACTAATAATGATGATCTGATAAGAAATATAACAGTACCAAAGACAATACACTCAGATCATAACATAAAAGAAATACAGACATGTATGCGCAGGGTTCCTGACCAGTATAAGGCGATCAGTCATGAGGGTGCCTTCACCAAATTCAACTTCAGTGACAAAAACATACAGTGGGATCAAGTCACCCATGTTCTAAATGAAATAAGCTGGGAAGATATCCCAAACAACAAAGATCCGAACCTTTGCCTAGAAAGAATCAACTCTGTGGTACTTGAGGTATGCTCAAAACACATTCCTTTAAGAAAAAAGGAAAGATGTAAGCTAGAAGAGAAAGACGCTCACTATACAGGCGAAGGCGAAAAATCGCAGAGCTGCTGAAAGGGACCAGTATATTTGAAATATGAAAGGAGGCACTGGTCAGAGAAATAGCAAATATCGAACTTAAACAAGAAATACAGGAAGAACTTAAAGCCATAAATGAAATTGAAAGAAACCCAAAATGCTTCTTTGCTTATGCCAAATCTAGGGCAAAAACAACATCCAGTATCGGACCCCTGCTTAAACGAGATGGGACTTACACAGATGATAGCAAAGAAATGAGTGAGATGCTGAAGTCCCAGTACGACTCAGCGTTCAGTGAGCCGTTAATAAGACTAACGGTCGACAATCTAAATGAATTTTTATGACCGAGAATCAAAATTTGGTTAATTCAAAAATTTCTTATATTATCCCAACACCACAAGACTTTGAAAAAGCAATAAATAACATGGCCATGCACTCTGCCCCATCCCCAGAGTCGTGGAACTCCATGTTCATCAAGAACTGCAAGAAGCCCCCTTTCATGTGCCTTAAGTATTCTATTGAGAGGAAGCATGGACACAGAAGTCATCCCACAGTCACTAAAAACAACAGACATAGCCCCACTCCACAAAAGTGGCAGTAAAGTAATTGCAAAGAATTACAGACGGACAGCACAAACGTCCCACATCATAAAAATCTTTGAAAGGGTTCTAAGAAGCAAGATCGTCACTCACTTAGATACCCATCAGTTACACAACTTTGGACAGCATGGGTTTAGAACAGGTCGCTCCTGCGTATCCCTACTACTGGACCACTATGACATGGTCAGGAATGCTCTGGAGGACAAACAAAATGCAAATGTAGTATACAAAGACTTTGCGAAAGCCTTCAGCAAGTGCGATCATGGTGTAATAGCACACAAAATACCCGATAAAGGAATAACAGGAAAAGTTGGTAAATGGATCTATAACTTCAAACAAATAGAGTAATAGCAAACAAAGTAAAATGAGAGGCGGCTGCAGTGAAAAGCTCTGTTCCCATCCTGTTCCTCATCCTTATACCTGACATAAACAGAGATGTGAGCCACAGTACTGTGTCCTCCTTTGCAGATGACACCCGAATCTGCATGACAGTGTCATCCATTGAAGACACTGTAAGTCTCCAAGTGGACATCACCCAAATGTTTAAATGAGCCGCAGAAAACAATGTGAAGTTCAATGAAGATAAATTTCAATTACTCTGATATGGAAAACTCGAGGAAATTAAAACTGTATCGGAGTATAAAACAAATTCCAACCACACAACAGAGCGAAAAACTAATGTGAAGGACCTGGGAGTGATAATGTCGGAGAATCTCACTCTCAAAAATCACAACAATGTATCTACCACATCTGTTAGGGAAATGATAAGGTGGATAATGAGAACCTTCGAAACTAGGGATGCCAAGCCCGTGATGATTATCTTCAAATTGCTTGTTGTCTCTAGGCTGAAATATTGCTATACACTAACGGCCCCTTTCAAAGCAGGCGAAACTGCAGACCTGGAGAATATATATGAGCTGATGGGTGTCAGATGTTTTGACAGGGGGCGCAATTTCAGTGCTTGCTATAGGCGTTATTTTCCGTAGATACGCCTCTGGACACAACTCAGGAGTTTCTTCCACTCATCCATAACTCATCCTTATAATCTTTCTAAATTTAAATTTCTCCAACTTGAATCCACAGTCCCGTCTTGGCTAGATATTTTCAACATGTTATCTATATCCCCCTTTACTTATTCCTGTTTTCCATTTGTACACTTCAATCATATCTCTCAGTTTCTACGTCTTTGCAGAGAAATTAAGTTCAGTACTTTCAGTCCATCTACGTAGGAAAGGTTTCTGATACATGAGATCAACTTCATTCTTTTCATTACATTTTCCTTCTCATTTATGTTATTCTGTAATATGAAGACCAGAACTAAGCAACATTACCTAGCTGATGCCCTTACGAAAGATATATAATGCTGAAATATAATCTTATATTTCTTGATATGAAGCTTTATTGCAAACATTTATACACTGTTGGTTTTAAATTTCTGTTAACCACAATTCTTATTTTTTCCTCTTTATTTAGTTTATAAGTGACTGGAGACAGTATCTGGTCGACTTCCAACTTTTTGTAGATGAATGGTTCAGAGAACCGACATGCTGATAAATTAGACACATGTGCAACTCTTGGGTATCTTTATTGAGGAAACGTTTCGCCACACAGTGGCTTCATCAGTCCATACGTAGGAGAAACTTGAAGAACAGGAGGAGAATGAGGTAATCAGTCCCTCAACCTTGAGTCGATGTGTTCAGTCCATCAATCTAATTTTCCAACTTTTTGTGCGAATTTGCTTTTCTAAAACCGACGCTTTACATTTACTTTTGGGTTGTTTAAGTTTTAATTTGCCAGTTTTATTAAACAAAGCATTTTTTTGGTACAATAACTGGTGAAGGCTTCTTCTGATCAACTTCAAACCTTAAACACCGGTGTATCTTTCTTACAGAAAGGTACAGATCAATTTTGGGAAATGTGTATACTATTTTCCTTTTTATTATTAAGGATATTGGGAAAATTGAAATACTGGTTTTACTGGTTTTATGTGATTTGTTAGCAGCTCATTAAATTGTCTTCCAACTTTCAACGACGATCACTAAAGAATGCAAATGCTTGTGTATATTTGGATATTGGTTTCTGTGTGTTGGCAAAAGTTTGGAAGGTTTAAACTGCTTTCTGACCGTGCAGTGCTAATTTGCTATTTTTATTGAAAACATTGAAATATTATTTTCCACGGGACAACATGTGACTGCCTCTTCCAATTTTCTCCAAATCTTCACCACTAATATTTAACTGCATTAGAAAGTTGTCACACTCTGTACTATTTCTTTTGCATGCAGTGATACAGTAGGATCTAGTGATACAGTAGGATCTAGGTAGTATATGTAATACGTATAGGGATACCTATCTCAGAGTGTGCAGTGTCCATAACACATCTAGTTTCTTGACTCGTGAACTCATAATAACATGACTGCAAATAAATAACTGAACAGGTTGGCAGTGAAGCCATGGCAAGCCAGTCTTACAGCTCACTGTCTCTCAGTTTTAGCGCTCACTTGCCATGGGTTTCAACCTCACCTGTTTTGTGATTTATTTCGTTTAGTTTCTTGTACAATACAACCATATATTGCTATGCTAATCTTACTACAAAAAAGTCAAATACAAATAAATCTCTAGACACTGTACCTGATCTCATGAGCTAGTGCCGGCCCATCAGGTTCTTTTCCAAAGTCCACCAGGAAGTTGTGGTTGAGAGTGAGGCCGCCCGTTTCTGTGTTAACATCAATCTGCAGCATGACAGATCCATTTCTGTTGGGCAATACAAGTAAATAGTGAAGTAAAATACGAATGAGTAATACTAATAATTATAATAATCTTTATTTGTACAAGTACATGTACAAGGTATACAGTCCTAGCTGACATCACTGACATACTACTATATAGAAAGCCGCTTGTTATGATGAGCATTTCGGGCAAATTAGGTTTTGTCCCAGAATGCGACCCACACCAGTTGACTAACACCCAGGTAGGTATTTTACTGATGGGTGAACACTGGACGGCAGGTGTCTTAATTAAGGAAACACGTCCTAATGTTTCCAACCGTACCAAGGATCGACCCCCGGACCTCATTGTGTGAGCCGGGTGTACTAGCAGCCGAGCCACGGGACAGAATACTGTGTTGTATTTTTGTTAAATATGAAAGAGAAACCTCAATTTAGCAGGTAAAGGGCGGGACGGGACGGGACGGGACGGGAGGGGAGGGGAGGGTGGGAGGGTGGGAGGGTGGGTGGGTGAGTGGGTGAGTGGGTGAGTGGGTGGGTGGGGGGTGGGGGGGTTGCATGGGTGGGTTGGTTTAGGGTGGGAGTGAGTCCAGTAATACCAACTGTTCATTAAATACAAATGGAGTGTTTTTAAAGATCATAATTATACCGGACAATTCTGGAAAAACAATTTGTCTGTTATATGCAAATTCAATTTACCAAGAAACTATCAATAATGATCAATTCTGGAAACAAACTTTGCTCAGACAACGGATTTTGTCTACTAAATCCGTATTAAATTTCTTTCGATTAAGCTGAGATTTCACTGTATATAACAAACAACACAGTGGTGTTAAGCACAACAATAAGCATTCATAATTTATGTTTTTTTATATAAAATTTATAATATTTTCATCTGAAAAAGAAGCTGAAGAACTCTTACTAATTGTGGAAATTTATTTGGTCCCTAAAGTTCCACAGGACAGATCCAGCATGGCCGTACGGGACAGCTGAGCTGGGCGGCCCTTAAAACCCTCCCAAACAAACAGCATTCTCTCTCGTTGGCATGGATTGTTGGTAAGGTTATTTAATTTATAGATTTACTCTTCAGGGAAGGAGTAGGTAGGTTTACTGTTAGTATATTAATATTAGGTTTACTAAGGCAACTGTAGATAATAATAATGTAGACCTAAGACCTTAACACAGGTAGTAATAGGCCAATAATGTAGGCAAACACTAGGATAAGTTAGCTAGGGAGAACTGGCAGCCCTAGTTTGAATGAAGAGACGAGGGTAGGGAAGAGAGACCAGCTCGTTCTTCTTAAGACAGACACCACCTGGACAACACGTGCTGTGATCAGCAGACGGCGCCCCCACGTGTCTTCACATCTGAGACCTGGGGAAATCTGGTAGAGGCACCTCGATGTACCGTAGATGACCTCCGTCAGGCCCATACAGTAAGACAAGACCTCCACCTTTATCTCGTAGATTTCTGGCCAGTGTCTTGGGAGATTGTGAGTGAGTGAGTTTACTGTGGGCCCGGTTGCAACAGGCAGTGCATGCCCAGTAAGTACCAGTGTCTCAGAGCAGTCTGGAAGCTAGTGTCTGAGTCTGCATAGTTATACTAGGGGATACATACCCTCTTGGATATAGGAATTTCTGAGGTGCAGGCAGGACACTAATTATGATTGAATATTGCAGGAATTAAGGCTCCCGGTTGCACGTGGTTTCTGAAGGGAAGTCCAAAGGGGCTAAGGCTAAGCTTAGAGAAGTGAAGATCAGGATATATGCTGCAACACCAAGTAAGTTAGTCCTTTATACGTGCATGCAGGCGAGGTTTTCTTGTAACAACAATCATTTGTGAAAATCTGTCTTATAAGCCACTTGTGAGGCTGAGGTACCGACCTCAGAGCTCGGTGTCAACAGAGTTTGCTAGGGTAGGCGACTCACTTGGAGGCAGTCCATACAAATTTTCACACTAATTTAACATTAGGCATTAATTATTAAGCAAAAAAACAAAATATAACTTACTTAGCTACCATAGGATAGAACTGCTTGTCCCAAGGAGAAAACAGTGAATCCGTTACATAGAGACGTTTGCCATCCAGTGATAACTGTATCATCTGAGGACTTCCTTCAAGCATCTTGCCTTTAACATACACAGGATCTGGCTGCTCCTGACAAGCAAGTGGAAAACTGTTATGTACTGTTGATATAGACAATAAAACGAATGAATAAATAATAAAAAAAACTACTTTAGATAATTAACTATTTATTTCAAGTTTAAAAGTTAAAATGCCTTAAATAGATTGACACTACAAGGAGTATACGTGAAGGGTGCTCCAAGGGTCAACGCCCCCGTGGCCAGGTCCCTGACCAGGTCTCTAGGTAGATCAGGGCCTAATCAACCAGGCTGTTACTGCCGGTCATACAAAATCCAACGTATGAACCACAGCCCGGTTGGTCAGATACTGACTTTAGATGCCTGTCCAACACTCTTAAAGATATCTAGGGGTCTATTAATAGTCCCCCTTTATGTATGCTGGGAGGCAGTTGAATTGTCTTGGGACCCCCGACACGTATTGTGTTATCTCATGGTTTCTTTACTTTTCATTTCGGTATGTTGCACCTTGTGGAACAGAGCTTTTCACTGTAGCCACCGTAGACTTTACTCTGTGGCTTGTGAATAGTCCAAGACGGACCGAAACGTCGTCATACGCTTTTATCTCTTCTATGTACGGGTTATTTATGTATTTATTTATTTATTTTATCACACGTTTGTGCTATTACACCATGATCGCACTTGTCGAAGACTTTCGTTAAGTCTGTGTAAACTACATCTGCATTTTGTTTGTCCTCCAGTGCATCCAAGACCATGTCATAGTGGTCCAGTATGAGAGGCAAGAGTGACCTGCTCTAAACTCATGCTACCCTAGGTTGTGCAACTGTTGGGTATCCAAGTGGATGGCGACTTTGAACCCTTTCAAATATTCTTATTATGTGGGACATTAGTACTGATGGTCTGTAATTCTTTGCAAATGGTTTACTTTCATCTTCGGGGAGTGCGGATATATCCAGTATTTTTAAGGCACGTGAAATGGGTTTCTTGTAGTTCATGTTGAACACGGAGTTCAACCAGTCTGACCTGGAGCACAGTGCATGATCATATCATTAACAGCTTTTTCAAATGTCTCGGCTATAAAAAAATAATTTGGTTTGTCGACCCTTAGTCTGATCAGCGGCTCACTAAACGCTGAGTAATGCTGAGGCTTCAGTAACTCACCCATTTCTTTGCTGAGGATATGGTTTTTGCCCTACATATTTATTTTCATAAGAAAATAAATATTTTGGATTTCTTTCAATTTCGTTTATTGATTTAAGTTCTTTATGTGTTTATTGTACATACTGTCTGAACCGCTATATATAATGTAAATTACTTTTAATATATTTAGTGAAGGAATACACATACTAAGAAGTTATTGTTCGCTGTGTTTTTGCTTGGTCCCTACATTGTTAGTAGAGTACCATGTTGACTCATTTACAAACAGGTACACAGGCCACAAACTACACCTGTGTTTGTAATAGAGCAGCTGGTGGTGTCACATATGCTGGCACGGCACCCGGTGGTGCCGGTAATGCCACATGTGGTGCTGGCAGCATACCTGGAGGTGTCACATTTGGTGTTGGCAGGGTGGTGTTAGGGCTGTTGGTGTTGTCAGAGTTGCTAGGGTGTACCATGTGGCATGTTTACGCTTCATATCAGAATTATGTTTGTGACTGTCGTGAATCAGCACTTCCCAGTCAGTCACTGAGCCATACCAATAATGGAGATACTATATTATTCAATGTATTTCTGGCAACTAATAAGGTTTACATGTTACTTAAGTCCCTTAATTTGTATTCCTTGGAATGCAGGCTAGAAAGATACATGATAATATACACTTGGAAAATCCTAGAGGGATTAGAACCACGAAAATCACTCCCTACGAAAGTAAAAGACTCGGCAGGAGATGCAACATTCCCCCAATGTCAAGCAGGGGCACCACGAGTACACTACGAGACAGCACAATAAGTGTCGGTGCCCAAGACTATTCAACTACTTACCAATATACATAAGGGGGATTACTAATAGATCCCTGGCTGTCTTCAAGAAGGCGCTGGACAGGCACCTAAAATCAATACCTGATCAGCTGGGCTGTGGTTCTTACATCGGTTTACGTGCGGGCAACAGTAACAGCCTGGGTGATCAGACCCTGATCCACCACGAGGCTTGGTCACAGACCGGGCCACGGGGGCGTTGACCCCCGAAACCCTCTCCAGGTATACTCCAGGTAGACATAAAATAATAATAAAGATGTTGGTCAACGTGAAAACCTCCAATCCATTAAGTTCCACTAAGCAAGATACTCAAACATTTAAAGTTAGAAGACAATCAAAAAAGGCATTCTGTACTTTTTCAACAGAATTCACTATTACATTTAATTAAATTGGCAAGTTGAAGCTTGCACAACCCAGTAACAATGTAAACTTTCCAATGAGCATGCCAGACCAGAAGTGAAATTTGAAGTCAATTAGAATGAACATTTTACAGTTGTCGCGCGGAAAACCAATAATCTCAAATTTTTAGCGACTAACTTGGCAGTTTTAGGGGCAGGGTACCAAGCTTTTTCCCCCTATCGTCCGATTTCTTTTATTTTTTGGTGTACACGAGGAAGAGTTCACGAAATTTATCGTAAATAAATCAACAAGATTTTTTATTTTGCCACCGAAGTGGCTAGTTTATTGTGCACCTCATGTCCATCCTGTAGACGGTAGCACAAGAGCATATGGATACACGAAAGGCCCAGGAACTAGGCCCCAAAAGGGTTATATCTACATATCTATGGTTCACTTATCTGTTACAAGCAAATTTAGGAAACCTGCTTAGTATATCTGGTATCTTATTTTCATTAATAAGATATCTTGACATGTCACATAGGTTATTATACTGTCTGTCTCTGTATTCCTCAATAAGTGGACAATTAAGCACATAGTGTTCAAGAGAGTGACCATATGCCTGATTACATAATTTACATTTAGTTTGATCATCATCTGTGTGTCTCCCAAACTGCCAGAAGTACTTGTAACCAAGCCTAAGCCTGGCCACTACAACATCAGTCAGTCTGTTCACATTGCAAGTTGCTCCATAAACATACTTATCTACGTTCATGTTATCATAGTGGGTTATAGATCTACTCAGGCTTCTAACTGCATTCCTATAACAATCATTTTCATTATTTACTTCTATCCTAATATTATTCCTAATGCTAGACACAGATATACCAAAGTTATATTCTGCATTCTTCTTCTGAGTACTCTTCTTGGCTAACATATCAACTTCCAAAAAAACAACTAAAAAAAAAAATATTTACTGAAAATGACATTTGGCAGACAATGTGTCCTAAATGGCACAATGTAAGGTTGTTTGGAAACTTATAACTGAGAGAACAGTCCTAATACGTAATTTAGGTGAAGCACTTCTCTCTAAATATCTTATCTTTATTCTACAAACAAAAATAAAGTTGGTAAGTTGTTTGACTGTTGTTATTGTACCGTTGTGCTGGTAATGAGTTAAGCTATTTCTCTATATATTAACTCAATTTCCATAATTTTTCGATTTTTTTTGTGGCGCGCCGAGCGTGTCAGCCGCACCTACACAGCCTAAACCAACCATGAATCTTTCTCTTACAAGATGCATTAACATGAACCATTGGAAAGAAACATTCTGAAGTTAACACAAGGAAAAAACTGAGTACGACTGATAAACTGACACCTGCTTTATTCCAACAACAATCTGAACCTGTCAGTCAACACACACACCTGTCAATCAACACACCTGTCAATCAACAGACACCTGTCAATCAATAGACACATCTGTCAGTCAACACATATACCTATCAATCAACACACACACCTGTCAACCAACACACACATCTGTCAATCAACACACACACCTATTAATCAACACACATGTCAATCAACAGATACACCTGTCAGTCAACACATATACCTGTCAATCAGTAGACACACCTGTCAGTCAACATATACACCTGTCAACCAACACACACATCTGTCAATCAACACACATACCTGTCAATCAACGCACACACCTATCAATCAACACACACACACCTATGAATCAACACACCTGTCAATCAACAGACACACCTGTCAATTAACAGACATACCTGTCAATCAAAAGACACCTGTCAATCAACAGACACATCTGTCAATCAACACACACCTGTCAATCAACACTCACACCCGTCAATCAACAGACACACCTGTTAACCAACAGACATACCTGTTAATCAAGACACCTGTCAATCAACAGACACATCTGTCAATCAACAGACACACCTGTCAATCAACAGGCACACCTGTCAATCAACACATACACTTGTCAACCAACAGACACACCTGTCACCATATTGTAAGTCTGAAGCCGATCAGAAGAGACATTCTCAAGTTATTACACAAGAACCTTGGAGGAGCTTGGAAGAAAACAGAAAAATTTCTGGTTACCCTCTGTAGGTACTACTATAGGTACTAATGTAGGTACCACTGTAGGTACCAGTGTAGGTACCACTGAAGGAATAATCACATTCTTGTCAACATTGAACACCAGTGGTGCTGGTAACACTGTATACAAACCAATTACTTTTAAATAACTCTGAGAGTCAATACTTACAGTCAGTTCTGTATCATGGATGACCTTCACAGGGCCGCCCTTAACAATAGAGCCGCCCAAGAAAATTTGTCCCACCATCTTAGGATGTTCGGGATCACTGATGTCATACTGGCGAACATCTCCATGGGCCCAGTTGCTGAAGTATAGGAACCGGTCATCCAAGGATATCAGGATGTCGGTCATAACGCCTAGAGAAATAGGAATTTCGTTAACACTTATCACAAAAATTCACATTGATAAAAACATTCAGTGTAGTAGGCTGATTATATCATTAGTCATGGAAGACCAGTAATGTTACTACTGGGGAGAGAAGAGAGTACAAGTACTGCTACTATTGGGGACAGAAGAGTACAAGTACTGCTACTATTGGGGACAGAAGAGAGTACAAGTACTGCTACCATTAGGGACAGAAGAGAGTACAAATACTGCTACTATTAGGGACAGAAGAGAGTACAAGTACTGCTACTATTGGGGACAGAAGAGAGTACAAGTACTACTACCATTCTACCATTAGGGACAGAAGAGAGTACAAGTACTGCTACTATTAGGGACAGAAGAGAGTACAAGTACAGCTACTATTGGGGAGAGAAGAGAGTACAAGTACTGCTACTATTAGGGACAGAAGAGAGTACAAGTACAGCTACTATTAGGGGCAGAAGAGAGTACAAGTACTGCTACTATTGGGGAGAGAAGAGAGTACAAGCACTGCTACTATTGGGGAGAGAAGAGAGTACAAGTACTACTACTATTGGGGAGAGAAAAGAGTACAAGTACTGCTACTATTGGGGACAGAAGAGTACAAGTACTGCTACTATTGGGGAGAGAAAAGAGTACAAGTACTGCTACTATTGGGGACAGAAGAGTACAAGTACTGCTACTATTGGGGACAGAAGAGTACAAGTACTGCTACTATTGGGGAAAGAAAAGAGTACAAGTACTGCTACTATTGGGGACAGAAGAGAGTACAAGAACTGCTACTATTGGGGACAGAAGAGAGTACAAGTACTGATACTATTGGGGACAGAAGAGAGTACAAGTACTGCTACTATTGGTGAGATAAGAGAGTACAAGTACTACTGTTATTGAGGACAGAAGAGAGTAGAGGTACTACTACTGGGGAGATAATAGAGTACAAGTACTACTGTTATTGAGGACAGAAGAGAGTAGAAGTACTACCACCGGGGAGATAAGAGAGTACAAGTACTACTGTTATTGAGGACAGAAGAGAGTAGAAGTACTACTACTGGGGAGATAAGAGAGTACAAGCACTACTGTTATTGAGGACAGAAGAGAGTAGAAGTACTACTACTGGGGAGATAAGAGAGTACAAGTACTACTGTTATTGAGGACAGAAGAGTAGAAGTACTACTACTGGGGAGATAAGAGAGTACAAGTACTACTGTTATTGAGGACAGAAGAGAGTAGAAATACTACTACTGGGGAGATAAGAGAGTACAAGTACTACTGTTATTGAGGACAGAAGAGAGTAGAAGTACTACTACTGGGGAGATAAGAGAGTACAAGTACTACTGTTATTGAGGACAGAAGAGAGTAGAAGTACTACTACTGGGGAGATAAGAGAGTACAAGCACTACTGTTATTGAGGACAGAAGAGAGTAGAAGTACTACTACTGGGGAGATAAGAGAGTACAAGCACTACTGTTATTGAGGACAGAAGAGAGTAGAAGTACTACTACTGGGGAGATAAGAGAGTACAAGCACTACTGTTATTGAGGACAGAAGAGAGTAGAAGTACTACTACTGGGGAGATAAGAGAGTACAAGCACTACTGTTATTGAGGACAGAAGAGAGTAGAAGTACTACTACTGGGGAGATAAGAGAGTACAAGTACTACTGTTATTGAGGACAGAAGAGAGTAGAAGTCCTACACTGGGGAGATAAGAGAGTACAAGCACTACTGTTATTGAGGACAGAAGAGAGTAGAAGTACTACTACTGGGGAGATAAGAGAGTACAAGTACTACTGTTATTGAGGACAGAAGAGAGTAGAAGTACTACTACTGGGGAGATAAGAGAGTACAAGTACTACTGTTATTGAGGACAGAAGAGAGTAGAAGTACTACTACTGGGGAGATAAGAGAGTACAAGTACTACTGTTATTGAGGACAGAAGAGAGTAGAAGTACTACTACTGGGGAGATAAGAGAGTACAAGTGCCCCTTCACACTGATGGTTGTCTTTACTGAGAATATTCACAATGCTACATAATGGTCCGCTTTACTTTCTTTACCAGCACTTTGCTCTTCCGGTCACCATCTCATTCTTGAAAATAAAAATGAAAATGAAGTTTATTAAAAAAATAATTTTCAAAAATAATAAGTAGCGCGGGTTAGAGCCACTACTTATGTAAAGTAATTTGGGCAGTCTAATAATATGCCTTAACATTAAAAAAAAAAGGTAAGGTTTAGACTACTTGAATGGTCAGTATATATAATAATATTTAACATAGCAATCTAAAGAGATATGTCAGTTTTGATTATGTTAATAAGCTGGATGAACAATGGTGGTGACGGTAATACATGAACATGGATACTGATTACGTCTGGTAAACAAGTTACAATAGATAATATAAATGTAAATACATAGTTATTAACAATACAATAATCATATAAGGTTCAGGAGATGTATTAAAAAAATCGAAACGATGGTAGAGTGAACTTTCTGCATCCCCAAGTAGTGAGTTCCATATTTTAGGGCCAGTAATTTGCACTGATTATCTAAACTATTTGAGTAACTCTTGGATGTCACTACTGCCCGCCTCCAGCTGAGTTACAACGATCTTTGGCAGATGTAAACAAAACGAAATGCAAACTCTGCTACATGAACTATTGTCACACCCTCCATTATGTACTGGAGTGCGATCAAATTAATGAATTTAGAGACAACTCACTCAGAAATGTTCAAGAAATGGCAAAGTATTTTATCCACAGTGGTATATTACAGACCATATAGAATCTTTTCAAGACTGATGGACTGACTACATCGACTCAAGGCTGAGAGACCGATTACCTCAAACTCCTCCTGTTCTTCACCATTCTCCTTTGTATGCACTGATGAAGCCACTGTGTGGCAAAACGTTTCCTCATTAAAGATACCCAAGTGTTGCACATGTGTCTAATTTATCAACTGGGGAGCTCCCTAAATCTTGGACCAACAGCCTCATCATTCCCATTCCAAATCCCAATTAACAAAATGCATCTCATCCAATATCTCTTACTAGCTGCTTGTGTAAAATATTCGAGAGAATGATTCTTAATTAATCGTCTCATGTATAGAATCAAACAATTTTTGTATATCCGGTTGCATGTTTCATGCATGGAAGGAGCGTGCATCATTGCACGCTCCTGCACACTGACAGCTCATACACTACCTTCCTTGACCTTAAATCTGCTTTTGATGTAGCTAACCGACATGTAATCATTAGTGAACTTGCCAGAATGGATGTTGTAGGATGGCTTCTCAGCGCCCTCTCTAGAATTTTGGATATTACACTGAATATACTAACAGGCCTATAATTGCTGACATCAGACCTATTATTTTTCTTGAAGATAGGAGTAACTCTGGCCTCCTTAAACCCTTCTGGTACGGTATTAATGGTTATGGACAAATTTACTATGTGAGCAATAGGGAGTGCCAATTCAGATGCACTATCTTTTAAGAACTTAGGCGGGATGTTATCTGGGCCGGTGCTCTAAGTTTGGTTTAACCTGCTCAGTTCTTTTTGCACGAAGTCATGAGATGCACTTACTAGTTGACAACTGTTTGGGGTTACCCCCTTTATTGGTATAGTATGTTTTAAACTTATCAGAGTCTGTATTAAAGGTATTTGATGCAGCTGGTAGTTTACTTACTAGTGTTGATGCAACAGATGTGTAGTATGAATTAAAACACTACCACTTCAGTTGTTTCGTACCGTACCTCGTTATCGATACTTAGTACTATGTTAGATCTGTTTATGGGTTCATGGCTATACCCCAACTGTTTTAGTTGTTGCCAGAGCTTTCTAGAGTTATTCTTGTACTCTTCGATTTTTGTGCAATAGTGCCTTGCCTTTGCTCCTTTTATAAGCCTCTGCACATTGTTCCTCAGCCTTTGGAATTCATTTAGTGCTGCAATATCCTGTCTGCCTTAAATCCTTTTAGCAGTTGGTCTCTGAATTTCATATTATCTAATATCTCAGTAATCCAGGGTTCGGTTCTTCGTTTAATTCTAACCTCTTCAACTGGTGCAATATTATCAAGGCTGGTAGTGAATATTGTTTTGAATTTTTTACAGGCATCATTTACGTCCGTGCAACTTGTTATTACTGTCCAGTCACAGTTGAGTAGCCTGTTTACCAGTGTTTCTTTACTATAGTTTCTAGTTAACCTAATTTTTATTGTCCTGTGTAGGCCTATCCGTTCCCTAGTGATTTTCCTGGTACAGCAAATGATGAAATGATCACCAAGACCTGTGGTAATGACGCCTGACTGACTAAGGTTCTCAGAGCGGTTGCAAAGTATGTGATCAATTAGGGTGGCTGAGAACTGTGTTATCCGGGTTGGTGTATTAATTAGTTGAGTGTAACTATTTAGATCCAGAATTTGCTTATAACTTTTACATAGCCCGTTATTTTGCTGTTGAAAACAGATATTGAAGTCTCCCAGTATTATTGTCTCGCAATTGTTTTTAAGTCCGGACAAGACTCTCGAAAAGTCTCACTGTATCATCCAGCCAGGATTCAGAGATGGATATAACTGACGTCCTAGTTCTGTTAGCTAGAATCCTAATCTCTGCCAATTTTGGAAAAAGTGATCTTGCGTTGACATGAATAAAGTGAAGGCCTGTTTTCACAAAACAATTATAATCATCAATAAATGGCAAGGGGTCATTTGTATTAAAGATAGGTGAATCAATGTCATCATTGTTAAAGGGTAGCTATGCCAATGTGCATTTGTTACAACAAAATGAAGTCTGGCACCATTACCATAAGCAAACATGCATCCATTGTGTCAGAAGCCAGACATAGGTATGGTAGGATTGTGGACAGTGGAGTCAGAGTGCACATGCTGTGGATTCCATCTCACATTGGTCTTCAGATGCATGATAAAACTGATGAATTGGCTAAGCTGTATGCTTTCAAAAAGGGGGTAGATTACAATCTTGGCTTGTCAGTTAGCAGTTTGAGAA